CTCGGTACATGTGAATCATCAGTTGATGCAAGTCCCATTGCTTTCATTTCCTCTACTAATGTGTTGAACACTCTTGCCACTTTCAGATTCTTTGTTACTCTCTCAAATCTCTGTTCCCTAAACCACAGAATCAAGATTCATGTTCTTGATGTCAGCCATGTCAATTGTAATTATATATATAACCATATCCGATAACAATAATCACTTACCGAGTTGCTGCCATGACAATGTGTTTGAGCTTCTTTTTGGGCTCTGCATCAGCGCTCAGCACCTGAAGTTATTACCAAAATTTTTTACATAACATTTTATTAATTAAGTGGCTGCATATAAATAATAAGATAACCTTTCAATAAGGACATATAAAGTACATGACTCTAATCTATATCCTCGTAAAGATGACTAAAAATACTAACTATATGTATAGCGAACAAATAATTGATATATACATAAGAATTAGATACCTGACTAATCATCAGGTCAGCATGGCTCCAGTGGAATGCAAAATAACTAAGAATACATCTTTCGAATTCCTCAACGAGCTTTATGAAGAGGGAATCTGCATCCGGTTCATCAGAGAAGAATGAATATATATCCTCCTCACACCCTTCTGATTTTCTAATGTATTCCGAAGCTAACTTGCAGAGATGAGGACATTCTCTCCTATCTTTGAATCCCATTTGTCTCGCTGCATACGCATATATGTCCGACCATTAGAGACATAAATACACATCAGACTATAAATATATATGTTGAAAACGAGATTTTATTAATTAGAATCACCCACCTACATAATATGAAAACCTCTCTACCTTCTCTACACGACCCTTTTCGTTGTCATGGATTCTAAGGCGCGGGATGATCTTGGAATCCCTTAATTTCTTAAAACTGAAATGTACTGCCGCTGCAATGATTAAGCCAATGGAGGAGGCAAACAGGATTTGTGTGAAGGTGGGTTTGCTATTATAATCTGAATAAAACGCAGAGCTGACAACTCAGATGAGTACATGTATATATAATAACAGCCAAATATATAAGAGGGTCTTATTTATCTTTCTGATGTAAGAATGAACAAAAAAGAGCTTTGTTAATGTTAGAGGCTTACCTTTCTGCTGCATTTCTCAGATTTCCAGGGAAGAAGATGAATTTCTTTGTGACTTTTCAATGTTGTCCAGACGAGAAGACCAGAATCAAACTTTTCCATTGGCTTGCGCATGTATCTGCATGTTAATCGTTCTGTTAGAAAAATGATAGGCAGTTCTTCAATTTTTAATGAGACAAAAGGTCAGGCATCAACACGTGTATAATACATATACATATATATATATATATATGGTTTATTTAATTTCCTTAATTCTCCATGCACCGCTTATATAGAAAGTAAGTGACTGATTCTGTTCAGCTAAAAATGGGTCATCAAAATAAAACTTTAAAAGAAGTCATTTAACAAATATCAACCTATATATATATATACTTATACTAATCTCAACAAAATATCTATCTATATCTGCACACATACTTAATACTTAAGTGCCACTTCAACATGCTAAAGCTAAAATGGTTTTTTCTTCGACAAATAATACTTTCTAAAACCTTTAAAATTGTTTCCAAAAATCTAATTTTATTTGTATGTTATTTCAAGAAGAAAGCAATTAATAAAGAAAAACATAGTAATAGAAATTTATTAAAACTAAAAATAAATTAATATTTAAAAATTAAATAGATTATAAGATACACGATATAATAAAATATTAAATAAATATATTATTAGTGTTGTTATTTTAACAAATATGAATTTTATTGAACTGATAGTATTCCAACTAAAATGATAACTATAAGCTGTTGTTGATGCAAATTATGTAATTAGAGGTATATATTAGAAATTTTCAACGTGATACAAGTATATACTGATACCTTACAATATAAGCAATTATCCTTTTCATTTCATTTAATCACTATTTAATTTATCATTATTCTATTAGTTTTCTCATAATTATCCATTTATAATTTTCTCTCACAATCGCTTATTTATGATTTTTCATAAAGAAAGTTAGAATCCCTCTTTAATTCTTTTTTTTTTTTTTTTTTTTTACCCGGCATGAACTTTTTTTGGTAAATTTTTTTTTAAGGATTTCCATAAAGAAAATTATGATTTTCTCTCATAATCATCTATTTATGATTTTTATAAAAAAAAAATTAATTAACGTTCTAACAATTTCCTCCTTTGATTCATTTTCTTTTTACATGCTAATCAATTTTTGAGTGTGTATGAACTTTTTTTTAGTCAATGCTTTTGTAAAAATATCAGGCAATTGAAGATCTATTCTATAAAATTTGAGTTGTACTACTTGGTGTTCCACTACTTCTCGGATATAATGCTTCTTGATAGCAACATATTTGGTCCTGTTATGACTAAATGAATTCTTACTAATTGCAATTGTCGACTTACTATCACATAATATTATTATTAGTTCTTCTTGTCTTTCATTAATATCTTTTAGAATCTTTTTTTTTTATTATACTCAGCTTCAGCGCTATACTCCGCTTTTTTGATGACCATGAGTAAGGACCCAATCCAAGTGAAAAAATATATCATGATGTATTTGTCATGCCATCAAAATATACGACTCAATCACTATCTGTGTACCTGATCAATTTTAAGTTTTATATTAGTTTGTACCATACATCATAATTTGTTATACCTTTAATATATCAGAGCACCCTCTTTGCAACTAATTTACAACTTTCAACCTTGCATCTTGAATTTTTTTTCAAAATACTTTTTGCATATTTATTCTGTGATATAATGATGCATGTGTTATCTTGGCATACTTTTATACCCAACATATAATGTAGCAAGCTAATATCAATCATCCCGTATGTCTCTGTCATACTTTTTTTAAAATTTTTAGTATCTTCTCATTGTTACCAGTATAAATTAAATCATTAACACATAATAAAATAATTAAAATATCATTATCTCTTTTCTTGACATATAAAGTAGGTTCACTATTTCTTTTCATAATTTTTTCCTATTGAAGTACTTATTTATCCGACTATAGACCATACTATTTGTGTTTGCTTCAAGTCATACAACCCGATCTTTAATTTGTAAACCTTGTTCTTCCCCCCTTCACCTAGAATTCGTGTTAATGAATAATAGGTCTTGAAACATGTTTTTAACTCTTAAAAACTTTAAAACACTATAATTACTATTGCTGAACCTTTTGTGCCATAAGTCTGAGTACTTTGCTACCTCACTTTGCAATACCAATTCTGAAGCATCACTTATTTGCAATAAAAATTTATGAATCTCTCGTTATCAATTTTGGCTAGCAACTAATTATTATTTTAATTGAAAATTTTGCAACTTTCATTTTCTAAATAAATTATGTAACTATTCCATATAAGTTATATGATACACAGCAGATTCTGCTCAAACCTGGAACTAATAATATATCTCGAAAAAACTTTGGTCCCATTTTAGTTTGCACAATAATACTATTTTTGCCTTTAGCTTGAACTTGATGACCGTTTTTCATACATACCTTAGTCTCATGAGACGCATCTATATCTTGAAATAATTTTTAGTTGTTTGTCATATAGTTTGTGCGGCCACTATTTAAGTCTAAATATCATTTTTCTTTTCTATTGCAATGTGACATGTAAAGAAAATATTTTATAGATTTTCTTTTTTTTTGAAAACTTTATCTAGTCATAAACTTGAATTCTGCAATACTTCACAATATGGTCGTACTTTTTATATTTATTGCAACATTTCTTTGTTCAACATCTCAACATACTACAATTTGATTTCTTGCATATGTCACTCCATATATTTGAACTACTTGAATATGATTCTCTTTTAGTTTGATCCTCCTGCTTTTGCACATCTTATCCATATTTTTCTCTAAGAATTTTTTTATTTTATTTTTCAAGAACTTTTGGGTCCTGAAATTTGTACTAAAAGCACTTTTAACTAAGTTGCATTTGATCTACAATTTTCTTGCCTCATGTGACTCCAAAGAACTCATCAATTGTTGAATTATAAGTGCAGACAAATCTTTTAACTCTTCAATCGCTACAACAATATATTCATACTTTTTAAGCAAACTAATTAAAAAAATTAACTACCTTTTGATTAGAGATATTTTCACCATAGTTTTTCATATGATTCACAATCTCAATTATCTTCAAAAAATACTCTTTTTTTTCTCTAACTCTTTCATTTGTAAATTTAAAATTACATTTGCAAGGTCTACAATTTCACAGCAATCACCATTGCAGATCCCTGAAACTCCTCATGCAACATATCGTATACTTCTTTTAATTTAATTACACCAATTATTTAAGAAATATAAACTCTTTAAAACCCTGTATTGTATGATAAAGAAAGCTCTAACATCTTTCATCTGATCTTTCCCTAACTTCTTTGTTTTCACTAGCATTAGTTATTGCCCAACAAGAAATTGAGACTATGCATTATCAAATATCCAACAATCTTTCGGATAATAGCAACGTTGACATCTTGAAATTTTATATATCATAATTTTTTTCTCGAAAATATAGGAACCATCGATTGCGTCATACTTACCTACCACTTGAAGTCATCAATTCGGAATGCTTCTTCAAATTTCACGAATGTAAATTCACTAAATGACCTAGTCATTATAGAAGTGTCCTAGTTGTTCTTATTTATGTGGTGGGTGTGGTATGTTCAGTTTACTAAGAATGAGAGTATATTCAATGAGAATGAATTCATCATAATAGAGCAATGTGACCTTATTCATGTTATGGATTAGTGTTATGGATCAAAACTCTACAAACAATCACCAATCCTAGTAAGTCAAATGTTATTGTCTATAATGGAGACAAGTAGTGAGAGATCAAATGCTCCTTCACCAAGGCCAAGCATATGGATTTCGCCACTAGACGGAAAGTGAAAGTTCAATGTGGACGCTTACATGTAGGTCATGATAGAGGAGGCCTTGGGGATTAAATTGGTTTATTTAAATATATCTTCTCAAAAAAATACAAAATCATGACTCCAACCAAGCCAAGTTATTATTGAGAAAAGTAAGGTTCTCATCATGGTAACCCATGAGGAGGGACACAACATGGGGATGATTATGAAAAATGATTATGTTGTCATAATATAGGTGGAAAATGATATCTTTCATTGAAATTGAACAACGTAGAAAATAGAATCAATAATAGAATTGAAAAAATTAGATCGACAAAATTCCACAACACAAATCATAAAAAGAATTATTTATTTGGTCCCTGGCCATAATGAGTGCGAGGTTGGGGTCTAATTTGGTTGCCTAGTTTTAAGTGGTGTGTGATTCTTTTTAGCCTCAGGTGGTCTATTATCTTAGTCGATTCTTAACCTTTACCTGCTTATGTTCTTTGTTGATTTTTTGGGTTTTATTTGTTACTATATGTTTCATTATATTAGCTTTCCATTTCTATTCTATTTTGTTTCGCTTATTTGTAATGGCAGAATGGTTTTATTTGTTGTCTCCATGTGTAGTTTAAATTTTTTGATATTTGTAATACTTCAATTTTATCCTGCCAAATTAAAAATAAAAATAATAGTAATGAGATAAAAATAAAATAATAAAATAAAAGAAATAACAATAATAAAGTTAAGCGATGTGATATTATCATTATCATTATTATTTACTAATTTCGTTTTGCCTTTCTATTATTATTTTATTCTTGTCTTTAATCCTTAAGTTTATGTTTATTTTTTTTTTATTTTTCTTTTTCTTTGTCTCTCAATTAAAGGAAAAAGGGAAGGAAAAATAATGAAAACAAAAAAGAAAGGAGGAAGAGGAAAAGGGGCGTAAAAAATTAAAATGGCCCTGATTTTTAGTCCAACTCCAAGAAGGACCCGATCCAGGTTTGGAGAGAACCCAGATCCGGATGGAAGAACAGTCCAATCCGACATTTAGTAAAACGGTGCCGTCGGGAGTCATGTCTGCCTAGCCGTGCAACGACGTCGTTTCTTTAGTATGAAACGATGTCGCATCCTTTTGCCCAGAAAACGCCGTTTAAAATGGCATCAAAAGTGTTTAAAATCAAAATATGATATTATGCTGGTTGGAGAACTAAA